GAAGCCTCGATCCCATGCAGCCACAGCCACATCTTGAATCGGAGCGGCCTCCTCGTCGGCAATCGAGGCGAGGTACTCGTCATCGATCGACTTGTCCCCTTCCTTGTTCGCCTCCGCCTTCGTAGGCGTAGGTGTCTTCTCCTCCAAGCGAAAAGCAGGGCAAACGAGAAAGCAATCTCCACGCCAAACCCTCTCAAAGGACAATACCCGCCTTCGGTCGAAGGTCGTGCTTCAAATCCGCGATTCTCGTGAAGCGACTGTTCTTACCTGGGATCCGGTGCTTTTGCTAATTGACATGCAAAAAACAACATGGAGCCTGCCTTCGTGAACCGATCTGCAATTGAGCCGCTCGATCGAAAAAGGTACCTCAAAGCTTGAAGGAGCTTCTTGATCTTCACGGCCTCCGCGGCCGCCTTGTTGATCAATGACTCATCCGGCTTGACAGGGAAGAGCTTCCGCTCGAGCAACTGGTTCAGCATTAGCAAAGCGTCAGTGATCATAAAAGCGCTCGGCACCGTGGTGGGGAGCGCTTGAACCCAAGGCTTGAGGAGGAAGTAGTGGCGGGACACCTCACGCGCTGTCGGTCGTGCCACGTCCGACTCGAGTCGGACGATGGCGCCACCCCTCCAATTGGGGCCTTCTATCAAGTCTCTCACTGCCAACGGCAGGTGCTCCCGCATCGCCATGGCGATGCCCTGCACTTTCTCGTAGGTCCACTTCACTTTGCCAGAGCCTGCACGTCGCATGACTATAACTACCACGCATGAAGCCCAAAGATCGGTGCACAGAAGAGGTGGGGTCTTGATATGTGCAAAGATCGACAATGCAGACTTTGTTTTTCCCTGAATCTGTTCCACAAATCATTGCAGCGAAGTCGCGGACCGAACGCCATTCAGGCACTGGCTCCATCGCAGCCACAAGTGCCATGGCAGCACCGCGGCCACAGACCCTATCACAGGGCCCTGGCCTTCGAGGAGTCTCAGAGGCAGTGCTGTGCTGTGCCTATGTGCAGCCATGAGCTAACGCCCATGCCCCGAGAGAGCTTTGTGAAGCTGACCCTGGAGTGAGCCTGCATGTCATGTCCGTCCTTCACTCAGCATCCCGTTCGGGCCGTGCTGTCTGCGGGTCTGCGGAATGTTGCAGCATGCGGCATGCATGCAGATCTTGACGCTTCGCTGAGCACTGTTGCAAAGTGCACGCAGCCTCTGCCGCGGAGGCGATGATCAAGAGAAACTGCTCGATCTCGAGGCGGTCGCCTCGAAGGGTATACACAATAAGTTTGCTTGTCAATGCCGAGTCTCTCACACACATGCAGACGATGCCCTGCCTGCCAGAAGTACGCAACAACAAAGTCGCAGGTGTGCATGCATGGCATGCACACGGCACTGTGGGAAAGTCTTTATTTTCAGGATCTGGCAGGGCCCCGACTTCCAGCTCTTCTGCAATGTGCCCGGAAGCTACCATGATATGTTTATATGCGGGCCATGCAAGCCATGCGTGCGAACTCCCTTGAGCTTCGATCGGTTTCGCAGGCGCTAGCGGCTAGCGAAACTCTGCCAAAGCCTTCATCTGGAATCAAGTTTGCATGCATGTTGCAACATAAAGAGTTTATACGAGTGTGCTGTATAGGGTGTTTTAGGGTATATATAGGGTCTTTTTTTCGATCATCCTTGCTTTCAGCAAGTTTGAGCCAGAATATTAGGGTTTTAAGGAAAATACTGTCTTCTTTTCATACTTCGCAAGCACGTAACAAGATCGGTTCTCGGTCTAATGGATGTTAGAAGCATCTAACATCAGCGGACACAAAATACACCATAATGATGGCAAATGCTGCGGCGTTGCGCAAAGTACACTATCGGAGCCTCACGGTATTGCTTCCCACGCGACCCACGGCGTCAGGGTGAACCACCGGATACGCTGTAGAGATAAGATCCGAGCTCCAGGGGCTAGAGAGAATGAATCTGAAGCAGATCCTCCGCGAGCTGATCCGATGTGGCGAGATTGCCTTTTCGGTGGGGGGGGGATATTTCGAAAGCCCACCGGCGACACAAGCATCAGGCTAGTGAGCACGGCTTCATGGGTTGCCAGATAGACACCGAGGAGACGATCCCCGGAAACCCGGATAGCCAGATCGTCTACGTCAACAAGGTGGGCACCTTCGGGCTCTCCCCGGCGAGCTACTGGTGGACTAGGATAGCCGCATGTGGGCTACGGGCAACCCATCATCTGTTAATTCCCGGCTACCCCATCGACCTCCTGCTATATGCCGACGGACTACTCCCACAGGCTAGGAATGTCGAAGAAGCGAGCATCCTGGCTATCGACCTGCCTAAACGACAAGGTGACCTCGGGCAAGGTCACCGCCAAGGAGATGCAGCAGGGACTCGGAAGGCTAGGGTTCGCTGCCATAGCCCTCGACTGGCAGAGACCATTCCTGGCTATCCAGGGGAAGACGGGATACCTCATTATCCCGACGATGCTACGGGTCCTGATGCGATGGCTAGCCGACAAGCTCGACCAGGGGGAGAGGCTACAACGTCCTGTGACCCTCTACGCTGGGCTACCACCACTGAGCTTTTTCACGGATGCTAAGGTTGAGTCCGATAGGGCCTAGTGGATAAGGCCTGGGCTCCCTGGGCCTTTTCAAAAGGCGATCCCAAGAAAGTTATAGCTGCGCTAGAACTGCTAGCGACCCTCGTGGGGATACGTCTCTGGGTCCCCGAGGGCGAGGATAGGAAGACCTCGCGAGTGGCCATCCGTGGATATACGGATAACAAGTCCAATGAGGCACTTGTGAAGAAGGCTATGACGACCAAGTATCCTTCTATGCCAATTTTAATGGAGGTGGCCGAAGAGCTATCCCAGAAGAACTGCGAGCTACAGCTCCAGTGGATACGAAGGGACATCATTCAAGGAGTTCGACCCCGACCTGAAGCGCGCATGCAGATGGCTTCTACAAGGAGCTAGGAACGCGAAAGCGAGCGACCCCGGATAGGGGGTCGAAGTTCAGCCGTAAGGCCCGGAAGCTAGATCCCTGGTAGCCTGAGTGGCGACGCGTGGGGATAGATAGCCGAAGGCTATCGATATCTCCAGGCAACCTGGGATAGTTGCCACTTCCGACAAAAAGGCGTCCGTGCTAGCTGAGTGTGTTTGCCCTGTTTGGTTGTCGCTCGGCTAGCTCGCAAGCTAACTACTCGCTACTACTGTCGTCCTGGAGGTGTTCTGGGGATGGTGGTGGGATATAGGAGCTAGTGCACGTACCTCGTGACGAGGGACGAGTTACGACTATGTGTGCTAGCTAACCTATTTCCACTCGAAGCTATTGAAGGTAGCTTCGCTAGAAACGGAGTTTCGTTCGCTATCGTCGATCGCAGGAGAGTTGCCTCTGACACGCGGAGACAGGATAGCTGTGACTTGGAATGGCTACGAACGTGTATGACCGTGGCCATTCTGGATAAAGTCCCCCATCAGGGGGGTAATTTTGAAGTGCGGCGCACCTCAAGACACCGGGTACGGCAGTGCGGGCAGCCTTCCAAAATAGCGTCCAGCTCCAGCGCTTTGGCAGGTGGACAAGCGATGTCTACCACGATCATATTTGCATGGGAAGGGAGGACCTCTTCCAAAGTGGTCGCTACAGCAATGGCGGAGGTGGAGTTAATTCCCGCATAAGCCTTCATCCGAGGGCCACTTCGGGCCCGGATGGGTTTCACGAAGAGGCTCCACCTTGTCATTTGTTCAAAGTCTTGTGGAAAGAGGCTTTGAGCCGAGGACCGTTTCGGTTCCGGCTCCGTTGGGTGATGAAGGGGGGTTTGCCCCAGTACCTTTCAAGTGCCTAGCGTGCGAAAAAGGACTCTGTCTGCACTCGTGGGCGTTGTGCCAAGTAGGTGAGGGTAGTGAGTGAAACTCGTTTAGTACAGCGTAGCGTGCTTAGGGTTTCACCTCCGTCTCACCGCGGCCTCAGGCTCAAGGTAGCTTAGTTTCTTTGGTAGCCCGCCCACCCAACCCCTGAGCCCCAAATGGGGCAAAGTACCTTTCAAGTGCCTAGCGCGCGAAAAAGGAGTCTGTCTGCACTCGTGCGCGTTGTGCATGTTGTGCCAAGTAGGTGAGGGTAGTGAGTGCAACGCAGATGATGCGTTGAGTTCTGGTATTGGGTGGCTTGGTTTAATGGGATGATGAGGTTTGCAGTGATAAGATATACAGCTCCCTGAGGGACGTGTCGAGTCTATGTGGCCTACCCCAAGACTGGGTTAGATAAAGTACATAATACACGGTATTTACGGTGTTTCCTGCCTGTGATATTTGTTGTGCGAAGAACTTTGAATACGCAGCCACTCAATACCGCGGTGTCGTACCCGTTGACGTCTGACTATACACAGGCTAAACCTGACCTTGAATACATAGTCAGGAATACAAGTGTACGGTACTTTGTAGTGCAATGCTGCGTGTACCTTGCAAGTGTTTCAAGTTGTGTTAATGTAAAGAAGAAGTGGGTCCGCAAAAACCCAGGCCGCACAGCAACCTGCTCTTTAAAATCACATGCACATCTTAAAGTATTCTCATAAACATACATACGAAAGTAAAGATCTGAAGAAAGAAGTTTCGAGGTTGTTACTTCGTTATGTACATACACAGACATATGTGCACATATATGTATATATGTATATATGTATATATGTATATATGTATATATGTATATATGTATATATGTATATATGTATATATGTATATATGTATATATGTATATATGTATATATGTATATATGTATATGTGTGTGTGGGCACACACACATACATATACGCACATACATCGGCTCCTGCCCCCGACCATCAAAAATGGTCGCGGTCCAAACTACATGAAATGTGGGGCAACAGCCACTGAGCAGTTCCTTTTTATTGTTGGGGGGTTGTGCTTCTGATTTTGTTTATGCGGTGCTACTTGGTTGTATTTCGCAACATGTGGTAATACGACATATGAACTGCACACATGTAGGTTAGGCATGATGCCTTTCGACCCTCAGCAAGGTGAGTGGCCTTCAAAGCGCGCGGTTCTCGTGGCAGCGACGGCTGCAGCAAACTGGCATTGCCGATTCGATGCAGAGGCCGCCGCATTGAATGGCACCGACGTGCTGCTTCAGAAGTGGGCCAAGCTCTCGGATAAACAAAGGTTGGGGCGTGTGGCCTGAAATCTGTTTGGAGGACGAAGCATCCCGGCGCTGGATCGTCAGCATGCATGCAGCCCAGTGGGATTGGCAGTGTGTGTTGTGGGACACGGGCAGCAAGCCAGGCCGGACGGGACGGTGAAGTCGATTCGGTCACAGAACCTCGATCCTTTGTTTTGGCCCCAGGAGAGCGGGAGAGTCACCTGCCACTTGTGAGTTGTGCTAAAAGGCTAGGAAGGACACGAGAGACAGCAAGAGAGATAGGCCCTCGAAGGTGGGGAGGCATGTAAGGTGGGGGTCCAAAATTAAAGTTTGATGCGAGCTCCTGAGGCAAAGCTGTGGACAGATAGCTGTCGGTGGCATCGGCATGTGGGCGTGATGTTGTTTCTAGGGATTCTAGGGTTGCCAGTCCACAGGTAGTTGAACGGGAGTCCCGGATGACCCGTTTACACCAGGTTTGCATAGTAATTAACGGTTTAATTAGGAGGTGTAGGTTTTGGGGGGAGGGTTTACAGGCACGGACGGGGGAAGGGGCCGCACAGACTTGCCAGACGCGGACCTTGGGCGGGTAAGCCTTCGGGTCAGGGGGCCTTGGCCTCCATACCCGTTAGCAAGCAAGCAAGCAAGATAGACCCTGAAGTCGTGGAACTAAGTATTCATATGTACTCATGCAGCTGTGTTGCAATGACGGGGCTTGCCAGGGTTCCCCTGCCAGACGCAAAAAAGAATATCTCCTTATGCCCCGCCCCCTCTTCAATCATTGTTTGGCCCCTCCTTTCATAGCCCTGCACTGTTCTGCTGAGCAGAGGTGTCGACTCCGCCTGTTGTCTCAAGGTACGCCAGCCAGTTCACGGCACGAGCCCCTGCCTCAGCCACCTTTCCTCCGGACAGGCTGTCCGGCTGCAATTCCAGGCTCCAGACGCTGCAGATCACTGTGATGCCAGATGCTCAGCGGCAGCAGATTTTGCAAGTTTGGGAACACCGGGGGTGCCGTGCGATTCAGAAGCAAATGCATGAAAGCCAGGCAGATGGCGAGAGGTCCGGCCTTGTTGCAAAGAGCATGTGGTGTGTGCTGCATCTCGCACTGACCTTGTCAGGAGCTATCTGGATCGTGAGGCCTGCAGAATCCTGCAGATACGCGGAAGCGGCCCATCTTCCATTCTCCGCTCGCGATGATTTTAAGATGAGTTTGAGAGCACGAGGGATTCCGAGCACCTTGGCAGGAGCTGAAGACGCTGGCACGTACCATGCAGACATCTCATCCAAGCAAACTAGCGACACATGTTTGGAACCGCCAACCGTCAATATTCGCAACACCGTCCTGAGGCTCGAAAGCACTGCCGAGCCCGGTAGACAGGCGTCTGCGACCGACGAGGTTGGGAAGCAATCTGTGTGGGTTGGGGTTTGCCTGACTTTGGGACACAGGTACTAGAAGCCCTCTCGGAGTCAGATTTGCTCGAGCTGGCGCGGTCGCTCGAAGACCTTGCGAGTCTCAACATTGTGTCCCAACTTCCCAACTCAGATCGATGGCCTCAGTCGGGATCCTTCGAGGCTTCTGGATCTGCATGATGCTTTTCTTTAGAAGCCACAGTGTGAAGGACGGGCGACCCTACGTGCACGCAAGAGAACCCTGAGGCTGCCGAAGATGCACATCAGACGCCCAGACAGCAGCGCAGACAGCACAGACGGAGAGACAGCGCAGCACCTTCCCAGGCTCCCGAGATGCGAAGCGCGGTCAGGCCAGGAGGGTCCCAGGACAGCTTACGAGGCACGAGCTGGTGCGAAGCTGAGAGCCTGAGAGCATGGAAAGGCCTGGGTTTTTTTTCAAGGGAAAAGTCTTGTCTGAGTCTGTTAACGATGAGGTTGGAGCAAGAAGAAGCTCGACTAAAGTCCTTGGCCGAGGCGAAGAGCTTTCAACCCTTTTACAGCCCGACAGCCCGGCTCCGGCTCCGCAGCCTGCGCGCTCTGCTTGAGGCACAGGCCAAAAAGGCAGAAGAGCTTGAGGCTCGCGAGGCAAGGAAGCAAGTGCCAAGAGAACTCTACCAGCTTGGGCAAAGCCAAGGCAGCCTTGCACCAAGCCGAATCAGAACTGGAAAGGAAACGGTTCTGTGAAAGAAGCGAGCGCAGCGAGCAACCAGAGGCCGGGCTGCAACGCGCCTTCGTCTATTGAATGTGCGCGTCTTTTGTAACGTGAACTCCAGACCAATCTCGGCCAAGATTTCCGGTCCGATGCAAACTTCATCCATATAAGTTGCAAACAAACGTCTCAATAATTTCCTGAGTGCTCCAAAAAGTGTCGCTCTCCCAATCAAGAATAAAAGTTCATATGCGACATGGGTATTTCTCAAGGCCCCTGTAATCGTTTTGTCTCAACGCCTGCTTCATGCCCCCCACCCTTGCCAGACTGGGCGTGCTAGAAAACTCGCCAAGCCAAGTCTCGTCCGTGCCCCTCCCCGCAACCGTTCCGCAACCGATATCCAAACAGCAGATTGAAAACACTTTGGAAATCCTGAGCGATAATGCTTGTGAAAATGCAGAGCATCTAGCCTCTCGGTATGAGCAAGAAGGATTGAAAAACACATTGGTTGCAGTAGAAGTTAGAAAGCAATCATGCAATCGATACGTCCAGGAATCTTCCTTGGACCAGCAACACCCGTCGCTACGCTTGTGGAGTTGCACGAAGTCCCCCTGCACAGACCAGGAAAATGGCAAAGGTGCAAAGTTGTACCGTAATTGAGCCGGTCAGCCTGAAGCTTGAAGTCCCACAGACCCCGAAACGGAGTAAACGGAGCATCGACTTTGCGACGGATCGGCTCTTAAGAGCCCACATAGACTTCAGTGTATGCAGGAAAGCAACGTCGACAGCGGTCAGGATGGAGTTCACAGTATGATAAAGTGTGTATAGTCTGTAGCACTTGCAACAGGCCAGCAGAGGACAGGCCTTGCGAAGCCCTGGGAGGGGGTGTGCCTCGGCAAGGACAGTGAAGCCCAGCGTGCGACGTCATGCGCCGAGTCCATTGGGGGAGGATGTCTGGACTCAAAGCTGAAATCATGAAAGAGGATCAAGCAAGCTGGGGAAGCCTGGAAGCCATGGCAAAATCAGAAAGTTGGCCTTGGGGGTTATGTTGCTTGCATCCTGACCTCGTCCAAGTACCGAAAGTTGCAACACCAGCCGGAGAGTAGATTCAACGTGCTAGATTCAACGTGCACGGACACAGACAGGCAACCAAGCTCAGCTTGTGCACTGTGCATAAAAGCAATGATGTTGTTTGTGCAGGCGGCGTTGCCTATGCGAGTACCTTTTGCCGGGGCCCGCAGATGCGTCTGTGACATGTATTTGGTGTGTGTGTGTGTGTGAGAGAGAACCTCCCTAGCACATGGGAGCAGAGGGTCACTCCTTTCCGTTGGTTTTGATGCCATTTTGAAACACATTATTTTGGAAACACATGATTGCATGCAGGGGGGCAGGACATCTTTAGCAGTGCCTGATTGGGAAATCCGTGCTAGGACGCAGGTCCCGCACGTGAGCTTGACTGACTGCCGCAGCCTGGCAGATCATTTGAACACGGAGGTTCCGTCCCCGTGTACAAGACAAACGGATACAGATTGAGCTGAGCGCACTTCGACAGTCGATCTTCACAGAAGACGGCGCTCGCACCGTTGATGTCTACCCTGCGGGAGGAGACAGAGTGGACTGGATTGACACAGCCACTCAAGCCGCTGATTGTCTCACAAAGTCCATGAAACCAGACTTCATCATAAAGCTGATTGAGTCTGGAAAGTACAGCATTAGTCGTGCGAAACTGTAGGTGTAGACCGCAGACGCTACATCATTGGACATACCTTGTATGTACCACAGTAGCTGAGCCCGCGCTACGGTAGCTTGAAGACACCACTGCTAGAGGACAATGCCTATTGTACCTCATGTGGTTAATTAGGATTCTCCTCAATGCCATGGCATGAGAACAGTTGAGTGTGAATGCACCCTGACTTGAGCATGTATAGAAGCCATGACCATGACATGCATGTGTTGTTGTATATATGTTTTGTCCGCTGCCGTAGGGGCCCCTTGAGCTGTATCAGTGATAGCTTCGCAGTGAAGGTGAAAAAGTCCGCCAATTTCAAATAAGGTATTTATGAAAATTGCACGGTGTGTTTGTGTGTCCGTCGCCAATCACTGGAGGTAGTTCAGAAGGAGTCGGTGGAACAACCATCGCCAACGTCTACTGCTCTGGAGGTGATTCTTTGGAGAATAATTGTTGGGAATGGAAGGGCCGTGTTCCGCACCGCGCAGGCAGAGCGGGTAGACTTGCAACGACTTCGAGAAGAGGCAGACTGTCTGAAGAAAAAGCTTCGACTCGACCTAATGCTTGAGGTGCCCCTGTAGACAGTGTAGACTCGTTCACTATTTTGTTGAAGCAGTGCCGCTGCTTGCCCATCGAGCCAGCTTTTGTCCAAGATCTGCAGTGCGCCCACGCATTGAGGTGCCGAATGGTTTCGTTGACTGGCACCAATCCCTTGTTGGAAGCTGCAATCGCGTTAATCGCCCAAAGTCTCCTCGAGCATGGTCTTCCATGTGCTCTTTTCTTGGCAACGACCCAAATCAGCAACAGAACCGACCAAACAGCCTTGTTACCAGGCGAAACGAAAGGCGAACCTATGCCATGGAACTGGGTTGGTATTCGGCACTCGGCACTGACATCATTCTGCATTCGCGCGGGGAGGCCTGTCGTGGAGAAGATTTTCTTAGCAAGTTGAAACTTGAGTGGCTTGCGGCACCTAGGCTAGGAGATTGTTGGACGTGTAAGACAAACAGAAACCACCTACAACATATTGTGATCGGTTCCGAAGGTTTGCGGCGAAGGGCGCGCCTCGCGGCGGCACGTCCTCCCACCTAGCACCCCAGCTTCTCGCTCAGCTTAAAAAAGCCTCTCCACACAAGCCCGCCTTGCTTATGGGTCTCGGCGACTTCGCCGGAAGCTTCCGAACACGGACGTCACGTCCAAACCACTCAGATTCAAGGGGAGTAATGCTACAAACATCTCCAAACAGAAGGTGTCAGAAAGATGCGCTGAATCTTGTGGTGCTCCTGGCATGCCTGTCCACTGGAACCGTTCGATGCTCACACCGCTCACATTCCTGCATGCTGCCACAGCATGGCTTGCGGAGGTCAGACGCACGAAGGGCACGAAGTCCATCGTTGGCAACACTGATGATCTGTCCTCCAAACATTCATTCCTGGGGGAAGCCTCCCGTCGGTTACACCTGTAGTCTCTTCTCTGTGTCGGTCTCAATGGAACCGAGTTCAAGCTTGAAACGTCTACACCTTTGTGCCATGGAGTTGCGCCCTGCGCGCGTTAACTGAGACGCAACTTGCATGCCATGTCTCTTGGCCCGGCATCCCGACAATATGACTTGACAGTGACGACAGGTCGAAGCTGCCGCCAAGGATTTGGAGTTGCGGCAACAAGCTGCCCAGCGACGGCCTTGGAAAGCATGGGGACATGGGGAAAGTCACATATGTTTGCGGCGTCTTCTGAGCCCCATACGAGGAGATCTGCGGAGGAGCAGGTTGCCTAGACTCCTAAACGGAACCATACAGGCACAGCTGGGCATGCGGGCCTTGAACGGCTGAGGCGTGAATTGCAGCTCTTGGAAGAGGAGTCGGCGCGCGGGCCTCGAGCCGAGAGTCCGATGCTTAGCCGCCTCGATCCAAAACTCGCTTCTAAAGGCAGATGAAGTTGGCCTCCTCGCCTGCCTCCGAGCAACGATTCGCAAGCGCAGGCCTCCGCAGGCCGCTGCCATCCCCAGCCTTTCCAGGCTAAAGGACGAGGAAGCACGCCTGCACCTGCAGCGCCGCAGTCTGGGAATGCTCCAGCAGGCCAGGGTCAAGAAAAAGCTTTCCCGGTAACGACCGGCGCGAGCTCGTTTGGCTCAGGCCATCCTGAAGGCGGCGGACAGACCAAGCCCTGGGGGCTACGTAGAGCCAGCGCCAAAGAGATCTGCGGCTCACGACCCTAAGTATTGTGTTGCGAGACGGGAATAAATCGAGGATCCCTAAGCCGTAAGTGCCGTAGCTTGCGAACCCTTGTGTAGCTCAAGCGTCAGGTCGAGTGACTGGAGGGATTCTGTCTAGGCACACTATGAACGACGGAGAAGCAGATGGTCCAGATGTGCTCGAGGTGCCGGAGCGCAAAAGCCATGCCGTGTGCAAGTGCATCATCTGTTCAATCCTTGGCGCTTGCAGGTGGATCGCGCAAGAGGCCAGCTTGCAGAGACCATGATTTTTTCGACGGGGTTCTGGCAACTTCAAATCAAAGGAGATGAGGCGGAACGTGCCACTTTGCATGGCGATACGGATGACGATGAGGACTCGCGTGCAGAGTGCCAGTTGTTGCACGAGAAGGAAGCAGCTCCTGTCTCGCAGCAGGTTTGGGATCTGGATTGGAGTGCTGTCAAGCTCGAAGCCCAGAGAGTGGAGAAGGTGCGCATCTTCTTCGGGTCCGGGCGGCAGAACTGGGTGACTCGAGGCATGGCGAGTAAGCCGACACCAAAGCAAAAGTACAGTGCTGGCGCATGTTAAGCATGTGCGAGCAGGGTCCAACTTTTCACAACTCTCGACAAGTGATCGCGATATCTTGCGTGATGCTTTGTCCAAAAAGGTTGTCTTTCCTTTGTACAAGGTCTGCTCAAGCGCTGGGGTTTTGCATGGTACTGGATGCAGTAGCCAATAGCCATCGCTCGCATTCTCTCTCGAGATGGGCCTCCCATGACAGGCACTTGTGAGGATGCCTGTCGCTACCGACAAGCTCCCACTATTGTTGTTTAGGTTTTTGACGTGTAATCTTTGGCTTCCATGCTTACTGGTGATGTTTCTCCCCAGGCACTGTGAGTGGGCAGGAGACTCGAGTAGCTTGCATAATCGGAGTAGCAGCAAAATGCGCTGAAGTTAAGCACATAAGCCCAGGCCTTAAGTACAGAGACTGCAGCTTGCAACTGCACAGACATTCCGTGGCATAGAGGACGCGTGGTTGCCTGGAGCTTGGGGCCTAAATTTCAATCAATTGGCAGATTGACATGGAACTTTTAATGTAAGGCCATGAGGCATTCCCTCAGCACGAGGGGGTGACGCTGACGAGGTTCTTGATCAAATCTGCGCGTGCTTGGGCTTTCTGAAACATGTGCAGTCTATGCAAGTAGAACGAGTCTTTGTCTTCCAGTGCGGATACCGCTACCCACTACCTTGCCTTGGCATCAACAACAACATCCTCGAGGAGGCAGCACGTGCTGAAGTTATTCGCCGGGTTCGAATCAAACCAATCGATCCCGCATGACCGAAAACTAGATTGCTAAACCGGGGGTAGCAACGATGAGTTCTCACAGGCACGAGCAGCGCAGGCAAATGTTTCGGCTCTGGCGTTGCAAAGTGCAGTCTTTTCCGCAGCAACTCATTGAGCAGGCAGGATGACTACGAGGATTGTGGCAGGATACAGAACGAGATTGGACGAAGTTGGGAAGGAAAAGCATGAATAGATCTTGGATGTGGCGGCAGCTCAACAAGGCCTGACCATGCTACAGGCATCCCAGGCCCAAAGGACAAGTAAAGCCGGCAGGAACTGCAGCCCTCAATGCCCCGACAGGCCCACCACAATGTGGTTGCGACATGTTGCGACCTTTCCAGTGTCCATGTGGTGGAACATCCCATCTACCCGCAACAAGCGAAACCGGAGCATCATTGGTATCTGCCGCATCCCATTTGTGCAAGAAAACTGGCAGAAATGCTGTGCTGTCCCAGCAAAACCTATCCTTGTTTGCTGTACTGTCCCCAGCAGCCAAAACAGAAAACAGTTTTTCCATTCCTGGAGGAGCTGCCTAGCCATTTAGCATTTTGTTTTCGTATCTAATGTGTGTTGTGCATATGTGGATGATTATTACGTTTATGCACTTACTGAGATTACACTCGGTAATTGTCATTTCAGTGCCCTTGCATTGCGAGACACTTGATGATGGCACGGCAGAGAGAGAGGTAATTGTCATTTCACGCTGTACAACACTTACAACTACTAGCACTGTTTGTGACTGTTTGTCAAAGATTGTACAAAGGTGTGTGTTTGTCTTTGGCGGTCAATCTTCACTGACTACTTACCCTAATGTGCAGGTTGATAAATATGATATGAAATTATTTCCGCATGCACTATTAAAAGATCCTGTGGTATGAGAGTATGGAAAAGTTGCTTAAGGTATTTTGCAGGAGTGTGACTATCAGCAGAAGGTAGTAGTATAACAGGTTAACATTTAGAGCCGAATAGTTAGTTCTAACAATGGCTGACGACTACAAATTAGTAATGGTGATTGTAGTAACGTAGTAGTAATTAGTATGGTTCGTATGGTGGCTCGGTATCTTCACAATAGTTAGATAAGCGACGGAAGCCTACGCAATATCATGCTAACAATGTTAGAAGCAATATGGTAAAGGTTAATGATTTAGTAAAAAGTGCTCGCGACATATTTACAAAAGATGCGAAAGTTCGACAATAATATGGCGACGCGAAAGTTAGACAAAAATGTAGCGACGCGCTTGAAAACCTTGAAGCAGTAGCAGTAGTGGTGGTAGTGGTAGTATTTAGTAGTCGTCGTCGTAGTAGACAGAAACAGCTCGTACAAGTCTTCGACGAGGGCGGCTTCACCTGCAAGCTTCCGTTTCTGCAGAAAGAGCTCGCGCAGGTCGTATTTGCAGTACTAGAGTACTAGAAGTTATGGTAGTAGTAGTCGTCGTAGTAGTAGCAGTAGTAGTACTGGCAGTCAGCATGTATCACAATCGTTTACTGCATGTTTCGTATCGGCTGCGTTTGCCTCACATTCTTCTGAACCAGCTGCTCCTGGCGCATGCGAAGTTTATGTTAGATGGTAGATAGATAGGTAGTTAGATAGGTAGACACACAGCTTTCTTTCTCTCTGTCTCGCTGTATATATATATATATATATGTAATTATGTATTACCCCTCCCCCTTTAAAACCCGCAGAACCCTTGTAATCCAGATGCGGAGCCCCGTGACAATCGATGTAAGTATCCCAAAGCTCGGTATGGTAACTCCCCCCGAGACGAACGTCGACCATGTAACTGCTCGTGTGGGTCTCCATGCTGTTGCAGATATAAGCCGAAAACCCTTTGAATGTCGATAGATTTCGTGTTCATGGAACCATCTACAAAATCGATGTGTCTTATATCGGAATTCTAAAACAACGGTGTCCAGTTCTTATATCTATACTTATCGTGGAGCTATGTGATATGTGATGACGTACCTCTGCTCTCCTGCTGCATGTTACTTTCAGAGCCCATACTGCTGCATGTAAAAATCTGCTTGTGCAGACGCACACAGAACATACATGCAAGTTTGCGTTCTAATGCAACACGAGAAGCAGTCGTATACGAAAGCATGTCGTGTGTGAATACCCAAAGGTTTATATGAAGGACTTGCCGAAACGAGGGTCCAGGAAATCCCATACCCTACAGAATACCTTCTGCAATACTTCGTGGAATAACTGATAGAATACCATTTCGAATACCTTTCAGGATACATTGTCTAATTCCACTGTTACACCCTATATAGGGTCCACATACATACATATACACACACCTCCTAGAACCTCATTTGGACTACCCTGTAAAATATGTACCTTATAAAAACAAACCACTTATATATGATACACCCAGCACGCCTTATGTTACATATATCCATAGAACACCCTTTACAATAACTCCTCTATATACCTACATATGCCCATAGGACACCCTTTACAATACACTATACAGAACACCTTGCAGGATATTCCTTACAGTAGTTCCTCTATATACCTTAAAAACCTTTCATTTAATGAAGAATACCTTAATGCCTTATTGAATACCCTGTAGCCTCTAGAATACCTTATAATACTACTTTCAGGAATACCCCGATCTACCCCATCGAATAGCTGATACAATAACTTTATGGAATACCCTGTAGAATACCACATAGAATACCTTGTGAAGCCCCTCTCTGTATCGTACGCCTTTTTGAAGGCCATCTGGAATACTCTATAGAATACCTCATAGAAAACCCGCTATGGCCTTATATATGATAGCCCTTGTGTACCGTATATATACCTTAACATGTAGGATACCTCCCGCACGCATTATACTACATATGCCCATAGGACTCCCTTTACATAACATTATAGGAACGGATAACCCCACATGACAGCGATACTCTTTTCAGCATCAAATCAGTGCAAAACATAGTGGTCTTGATAGGTAACGATTCGAGATGTGCGCACTCTGCCTGGGCGTTTGCGCTGATTGTGTGCGCGTTGTGTGTGTGTGTGTTGTGTGTTGTGTGTTGTGTGTTGTGTGTTGTGTGTTGTGTGTGTGTGTGTGTGCCTGTGTGTGTGTGTGTGCCTGTGTGTGTGTGTGTGCCTGTGTGTGTGTGTGTGTGTGGGTGTATGTGTGTGTGGGTGGGTGCGTGTGCGTGTGCGTGTGCGTGTGCGTGTGCGTGTGGGTGTGGGTGTGGGTGTGGGTGTGGGTGTGTGTGTGTGTGTGTGTGTGTGTGCGTGGAACCCAAACTACAACGGGAGTGGCATGCGCATTGTTATGGTTGAGCTGTAGCAGTACTTCAGTTGCAGGGGGCCAGCGCGTGGTGTTGTGACGCTGGCCAACGAAGCTAGCAACACCATGGAAAGAGGTTTGGGACGCCAAACCTTGTACCTGCGAGAGCTTGTGACCTATTCGATCTTGCAAGCTGTGCACTGGTTGTATTTCGGCATCAGTCTTCTTCATTACAACGTAGCAAGGCAGCCGGAGACCATTGAAGCCCATTGTAACATTTTTGCTTCTGAGTTCTCAGCTCAGTCTTGAGCTCATTGCTGAGTGGATCTGACCACTGAAGAACAGTAAACCAGGGAAGCCTTGGTGTTCAAGTGTGAGTGGGCATGGCCTTCCGTCACGTCGCCATTACCGCTGCTCTCGAGGCAGTATCCCTTGAATCAGAGCCCCGAGTGGGACGAGCTGTGCCTTGGCTAGGTTTCTAACAGGCCAAAACATCAACAGATTGGAAGTCTACGATGGAGATGGAAAGTCACCCTGATCGTGATGGTTGAGCAACATTCAGATCGAAGAGGAGTGTTCAGATCGAAGCACAGCATGAAATCCGTGTTGAAATCTTCCTTGAAGACGTCTTGAAATCCTGCTGACTTTTCGTAGGTTAAGATAGTGATTTTAGTGCTTCTAATGCAACGCAACCTGGCCGTTCATCAATTTTTGTTTGGTTCTTTTGGTTGGTGTAGCTAACGGTGCTCGCAGTAGCCGCCCCCTGCCATGGAGATCAATATTCAAATCAAAAAATGCGCAGCCAGAAGAGATCATGCAAGCCTTCGCAGCTCTGGTGCCGCAACAGCAGACAGCAAGTACGCCAAGTCATGCACCGCAAGGACGCAATCTTCCACCTCTCAAGCGGATTCGAAGGAGGCTAGGGCAACATCAGCAGGAACGAGACGCTCGCCAAGTTTGC